CAGCCCGTGGCACTTGCAGCCAGCCCACGGTCCCCGGACCCCCAGGGGCCACGGAGGCAGCGGCAGGACTCGTGGAGGTGCGGGGGGGCTGTGTGGCCACCCGGCTGCAGCCCTCCCGGAACGGGCCAGCACCAAGCGGGGGGGGGGGTGCTGTGCTTGGCTGAGGGGGGGAGGAGTGGGACGGGGTCCTCCAGCCCTGTATCACCCAGGGATGCTCCTGCGGGACGGGGTCCTCCATCCCAGCAGCGCCTGGGGATGCTCCTTCCCCATCACTGGCCGAAAGCAGGGGACGGCTGGGAGCGGGCTGGCACTGGCGTGGGGCCCAGGCGTCTGGAGCGCAGGATGATGCTTTGTTTCACTCCAGAACATGGTTTAGTGGGCATGGACGATGGTTGGACTCGATGATCTTGAAGGTCTTTTCCAACCTAAATGATTCTATGATTCATGCCGGTCTCTGGGGGCTGAATGGTGGGAAGGGTTTTGCTATGAGCTGAGGCATCTCCCGCATCCTGCCGAGGGCTCTGGAAAGGGCCCAGGAGGGGTGGTGGCCCTTGCTGGCGTGACTCAGCCTCCACGTGATGGGACTTTCTAGGTTTGCTGAAGACCTGGCACCTCCCCGCACCCTCCTGGCCGGGGTGCTGGGCGCAGCGCCTGGCTTCGAGGCAGGAGAGGCCAGCTAGGCTGGCCCCAATCCCGGCTGCCCCGAGGGCCAAGGCACACAGCTCGGCAGGCTCCGGCGCTCCAATTCAGCCCCACTCAGCACTTCCAGGGATGTTATGAATTTCCCCATGCAGCTTGGCTCGCAGTCAAGCCGGCCGCGTCCGCACTGCCGACGGCTGCCAGCTCCCGCTGCGGGAGAGGCCTTAAAGGCGCCATAGCCTGTCCTGGCAGCGATACTGCCAGACGGCTGCCGCAGCCCCCCCCAGCACCCCGCAGCCGGAGCAGGGGCAGCAGCAGGGCCAAACCCACCGACTCGGCATTGGAGCTGGTGGCACCACTAGTGCTGGTGCTCCTGGGAAATTCTGCTGATCTCCATAGGTGTGGAGAAGCCCCCTCCGGGATCCCTAGT